TCAGGTGCAAGTACAATAGGATACAGTAGAATACAAGTTATCTTGATTTCACAGTAGTGCACCAGATGCAGCATTGAGCTGATGGGTCATCATGACCTTGCCGGTCCATTGCTTTTAGTTGGCCACCATGACCTTTGCTGATGGTCATCTTGACCTTTGCTGGTCGCCATGACCTTGCCAATGGTCACCATGACCTTTGCTAGCTGTTGCATTTCACTTCAAGACTTCCGTCACATCACGCCGGATTGGCTTGGTCCAGGGTGATTGAATGATGATTGTTTTGAGAGAATCAAACACCCACACTGAGATGATTAACCCGATGGAAGTCTGAGCAGTGTCATCTAGATGCCGCAGTGTCCGTTGATCGCTCTCTACTCGTCTGCACTGTCCGAGCGCGTGATAAACATGCTTTGCAAGCAGTGAGCCATGGGGAGCGGAAGGGGTCAGAAACAGGTTGAAAACGTGTTCAAAACAGGGAGGGGTTTGAGACGTGTGCGGGAAGTCTAGGAACAATTTGTTTGACACATCTTTGAGGTCCATGTTTCATTGAAGAGTTTGTGAAGTTTTTGGGACGCCGGTGAACAAACGGAGGTTTCAGGCCAGAGGTTGAAACAATGGAAAAGTGATGAACAGTCTTTGTGTTTTCATCCTTTCCGGAAACTGGAAATCATTGAAATCATCAAAAAATATCTGTGAAATAGCGTTTGGTCTGGGAAAAAATTGGCGAGAGTTTAGTTACCTCGGGTCGCTCTGGGTGGGGTAAAAATATAGCAGATTTGTGTTTCCACAATTTTCTAATTGAAATTTTGTGTTTCCACAATTTTCTGATTCAGAATTTTGTGGAAACACAATTTTCCAATAGAGGCACATATCAGGAAATTGTGTTTGTACAAAAAAAATTAAAAAATTGTGGAAACACAAAATCCTGATTTTGGTTGATGTATCACGCGTGATTGAAAACAGGTTTCTTTTGTGTCGGAGTCTTGAATTTTTTGGATCTGGCAAGGGCTGCGACGTGAATTGAAACCAAATTTCACGTTGGATTACAACCTCGGTGCTACATGTTTCCCCTGCAGTTTGCCATTCACGCATGCAGGGTTTTGAAATCTAAACGGGCTTCACTCAAATGAGAATAGTTGCCAAAGGTTGATTGTCTATACCTTGCAACTGTTGTGCAAGGTTCATTGATGTTGATTGATCTTGTCCCTTGCTCTGTGGCAGCAGGGTTATCGATGAACAATGTGCATGTTTGGCTCCAGTACTTGAGGCGATCTTGTCTCTGTGGTGGTGGCTCGCGTCATGGATCGCGAGGCAACAATTGCACTTGCACGGCTGATGCGGTGCGTTTGTGGCATCCTCACAACAGTCCAGTTCGCGATCGACCACAGCGATGTGCGTGAGCTACACCAGAGCTTTGCAGAGGCGACCAACTCCTCCCTCCATCGAGCACGGGTTCAGGGTGATGAGCCCACGGCGTTGCCGACGCCGAGCCGTGGACATGTGCTGCGGAGAGATGAAGGCCATGGAGGTGCAATCCATCCTGATGAAGAAGGTCAAGATCTGCCGGAGGAGCGACCCCGCTCTAGATCGCCCCGGCGATGAGGACCATGGCGATAAGAGCCATTGAGTTTTTGTTGGAAAAATGAGATGGGTGCCATCGATGATTGTATGAACAGTTGTATGGGTTGTTCTCAGCTTCTCAGCATCACTGATGTCTCAAACATGTCGTACATGATGTCTCGAAATGTTCATTCTGATGAGCATTGAAGTTCTCAAACATGTCACCAAAGACTTGTGGCTCGTTGCCAGCATTTGTGGCTCCAAGACTGGAGCTCAACGACTTGTGGAGCGAAGAACACGCATGGGCAATTCTCAGCCGTCCATGGAAGAAGCGATGGAGATGTTCCAGTTCCAAGACATCAATGAACTCCGTGCTCATGAACACATGGTCAACGACGAGGCGTCATGAACCATACCCTGTATGGCTTTGCGCAGGGTTGACTCTTAAACCATGTATACCCTGCGCTTTGTTGCAGGGTTGTTATATACTCATATATACAGTTGATGATCTTGAGACAGTCCCCTGTGCTGTGTTGCAGGGTTACAAAGCATACATAATGTATGGTGTGCGTTCTTCATAAAGACATGCAGGTGGAGCACCAACGAGACGTTCAAATG